ATATATATTGTGATCACTCTTTTAGTTTATCTATAAATATTTAAAAAAAATTTTTGAACATATTTTCAAACTACTCCTTACGTTAAAAAATATAAGACATTTTTTGAGGAATTGGATGTTAAAAAATGTAAGACATTTTTAGTCTTTTAAGATGTAATCATTACCTTTTTTTTAAGTGTCCCTATTGATCAATAAATGTATATTTATTGTAGGGTATTTAATAAAAATAAATATGAAAAGATAGAGTTAGTTAAAAAGTAGGTAACTGCTTTATTAGGAGGTAAGATTCAGTTAAAAATATTTTATATCTTTTTAATAGAGAGAATAACAACAAAACTTAGCTCTTTAAGTACAAAATCACTTATAAGATGCATGTAAAGTTATTAATAAAAATTGGCTTGACTTTTATAACCTTGGCTTTTAAAGGTTCAAACCCAATTTTTATTGATAGGATTTAGGGTTAAACTTGAAGGATCGCATAGTTTTTTAAAAAATTAAAAATTTTTTAATTATGATGATACATGTATAGATTATAAAGTATCTTAACTAAATATTTAAAAGACAATAATGAACTTTAAAGTATAATCAAAACAATACAAACTCCATGATATAATATAAGCTATACAAGCCCTAATTTTCTATCATCCAAAATGTAAATATAATATAAAATATTTAGATAGAAATGTATTTTTAACTAAAAATTTTAATATGATTTGAAATTAATTAGTTGTAATTAAATATATATTAAAATTTAACTAGAAATCATTTTTGTTTTGACATGGACCATAGAATTGCATCCAAAAAACTGTTCTTGATCTCTTTTCTTGGTCAAACAAATCAAATAATATTGCATCCATACAATAAAAAATATATAAATGAAAAAAGCTGTTGATATATATAGTAAAAATAAATAAATTATATAATTAAAAGGAAAAATGATAATAAAATTTCTTTAAAATATATAAATAATAATATGATACTTTAAAATGTCAAAATTTTACTAAAATTTTTAGAAACTTTTTTGTTATTAATGAATTTATATAAATGATCAAATTATCCTTGTTGAAAATAAAATGATTCACAAGTTTTGTTTAAATAATCACAACTTTTTTTCTTATATTGACAATAATACAACATTAAATTATAACTTCACATATTAAATTCTTGATTTGCTATTGCATTATTATGAATATAAGAAGAAAAGTTGTGCTTATTTAAACAAAACTTGTGAATCATTTTATTTTCAACAAGGACAATTTGATCATTTAAATAAATTTATTAATAACAGAAAAACTCTTAGAGATTTCAATAAAATTATGATATTTTGAGCAATTAGATTTTAGTTATATATTTTAAAGAAATTTTATTGTCATTTTACTAATTAAAAATATATCATAATAAATAATTTTTTCAAAAATAAAACTGTAAGTTTAAAATATAAAAATCATGTTTAAAAATAAAATAAAACAAATTAAATTGAAAATATATTTGAATAGAAATATTAAAAAATAATTAAATTATATTTAAAACATTTATCATAAAAATAAAATTTAAAAGTAATATATTATAATACCTTAAAGAACATAATTAATTAATATATATATAATTTAAAATTGGTAAAAAATATTAATTGATTAGAATTAATATTTAGATTTAAATTTAAATTTTAATATATAATATTTAAAATTATTAGAGTTATATAATATCTTTCAAATAGATAGATCTATATATTTTATTAGTTTATTTTTTAAATTGAAACAGTCAAAATATAACCAAAATTTAATTTTATTATCATATGAAAATATAAGATAATCTGATTACTCTATTTTAAATTGTTTGATTTGAATTTTAAATAGATAAATCTAGTTAAAATAAAATAAAAAATATATAAAAATAATAAATCATCTAAAATCTAATTTTACACTCCAAATCTATTAAATAAATAGGCATGAAAGAATAAATAATTATTTCAAAATTATTTATTTTATTTGATAAGCGAGTTGTACATATTAAATAAATATTTTATTATTTTTAAAAAATTTTATATTAAATAAAATTGTCATTATTTTACTTTCTAATTTTCTTACACTAATTCCTTATATTAAATAAGATACTCAAGATCCTGTCATACAAAATAAGATTATTTAATATATGTATACAATTTTTATATATTAAATAATATTAGATAGTCCATAATTAAAGTTTTTGAATAGATAAGATAGAACTAAGATATGGTATTATCTTCAACGTGCTAAATAGAGTTTTTAAAGAACTAACTCAAAAATTTAACTACATACTAATTAAGTAATTATCATTTGTTGCCTCTCTATTTGTAAGTTTTAAAATATTAATAAAATTGAATCTAAAATGATATATGGAACTCGTCTCAAGATGCAAGTTTATAGTAATAGAGAATATGAAGCTAATTTTGTAAGGATGATTTATTGTCATATACAATTTGAAGCATTGAAAGACTTCAAATTTTAAAATTTCATATATTTTAAAGAAATGCAACATATTTCCAAAACATCCCACAAAAGACTTTCAAATGACTATAGAGATCCAATCACCCTTTAGCAAGACATAATTTATGGGATCTAAATTATAAAAAAAAAAATACAAAAGACATAAACACTTAATCCAACATCCTAGAAAACCAATTTAACACTATTAGATTCTTCGAATGTATTTCTACCAAGCTATATTTAAACATGAATTGTTCTAACCATAATATGCCAATCCTTTTTCATTGCATTGATGATATGAATTGTATGGATCTTATAAGTAAAAGTCATGAATAGTATAAATAATAGTCGAGAAGAAAATAAACCTAATACTATTAGAGGGGTAAGTTAGACGTGAAAGTCTGAAATGTACTATTAGCCTAACCTAGTAATTTACAATTTAATAAGGCTAAATTGAGAGGAAAAATTAAGGGATGATTTTTTTTTAAAAAAAAATCAAGATAATAGATATTAAATATTCATTTTTTTAGTATAGATATTTAAGGTATTTAAATGTTAACAAACTTCACAAGGACCTTTTCAATATATTAGTATTCTCCAAAATTTAAAATCTCAGTATTCTCTATAAATAACGATAGCTCTAAATACTTTATTATTAATTATATTAAAATCAATATTACGAAATTTAATATCATGAGATCTAAATTATTAAATAGATTAATATTTTTCAATTATCATATTTATAATTCTCTTAAATCATGAGGATAGATCTAAATACTCAAGCATAGATTCCTTTTTTTAAACATTTAAACAGATAAATGTTAATTTAAATTTGAATTCTAGTATGTATGCATATATATATATATATATATATCGGATCATATGAATCTAAGGTGGATGGAAACTTTAAATAGATAGATATTATTTTGAAGTTAAATATGATTACATTTGAATTTCAAATAGGTAAAAGATAATTTTTATATACATCTAAATTACATCTAAAAATTAATAATTAATCTTGCACCTAATTCTAAACTTGAATAATATATTTTATATACATTAAAAGCAATAAATCATCCTGAACCTAATTCCAAATTTGACTCCAAAGCACATAATTGTAAAAAAAGCATCTCAAAACATAAAATTACAGCAAATTTAAAAATAAACACGTGGCATTTTCTCTTAACTTTTAACTCTTCTTTTATATCTATAACAATAATGATGAGTAGCTCATCCAATTCAAGTCATCAGATAGTTCAAAAGTATTTTTTTCAAGCTTCCCATTGGACTTTCCCATTAAAAAAGATTCTTGTTAATGTGGTTTCAAATATTTGGGAAATCCCTTGGTAAAGTTAAGACATCTAATCCAGTAAATTCTATTACATGAGAGTTGGACTTGAGATTTGTATCCTTCGATAGTAAATCTTGGGAGCCCTAATGGGCTAAAAATAAACGGGCTATTCCTCAGCCCATTTATTTTTCCCCTTAAAAAAATAGCACAAGACGCCACTGGAATGGGAAAACAACCAAAAAATATAAATGGAAAGGGCCTACCTTACCACCCCTTTTTTAAAATTGCCAATTACCATGCAGCTCCCTTGGACATTGACCTCAGTATTATTATCTCGTTTCTTGCTTTGCCATTTTCAGCCCATCCCTCAACAATCCGATCTTTCTCTCCTTCAGCCCATCCCTCAACAATTGGGTTGAACAAATTAGCTTATTTTTTAAAATAAATTGGGCTAGCCTAACCCGTAAAATTAACAGGCTAAAACAGGCTAGCCTATGGGCTAAACAAGTTGGCTAGCGAGCTAATATAATTTTTTAAAAATAATTTTTTATTATTTAATTATATTATATCTTTTTATAAATTTACAATAATGATAATATTTATTAAATATATAATTTATGACTCCTATTATGTTTTTTATATTTGAAAGATAATGTAAATCTTTCTTATAATTCACAAATAAATTTTTTATTATAGTTTGTAAATCGGTGATTTATTAGTTTATATAAAAAAATTTTGAATATATATTATTTATTAATCTCATAAGATTTATTGATTGAAATCACAAATATAAATTTATTGAGAAAAATAATATGGGTTTATATTTAAATTTTTTTTTTAGTGAGAAAGATAACACAATTAGGTGAGAAGATGATTAATAATAAAAATCTAACAAAATGAATTTTCTCATTTAAATTCTATGTTTATTTTATTTATTTATAAATTCTTTAAATTGTTAATTTTTCTTAAAATGTGAAATAAATAAATAAATAAATATATATTATATAAATTTTAAATTATTAAAAAAATTATAATAATTTTTTATGGGCTAGTCTTCTAAAAAATAAATTAAATTAAATTTTTTAACTTATCTTATTTAACTGATTGATCTAATCCAACTTATAAAAATATCAGTTAGTGCGGATTAACCCGCGGGTTGATCCGTAGTCCGCTTGTATAGTGTTAATTTAACCTGACATGTATGAAAAAGTTATGGATAAAATGTACACTTCGATTTTTCAAAGTGGGCCGACATGTGAAAGTCTGGCGAACGCGGGGCCCGGGCATTGATCATTTCCCGAGAGGAAGCAATCAGCCACACTGAGATCGAAAGTTATCAGGTTGCAGGTTTTGATACGGCGGGCTATCGGCAGTTGATCCTGCTCCTTCCCCACTTTGTAAAACTGTGAGATGTGAGGGAGCAAGCGAAGGCAGAGCCAAGGATTGAATTTGAATACAGGCAGTGATGCGAGTGAACCAGAATTTTAACTGTAATAACCGATTCGCCGTAGTTTGATCAGAAGATAACGAAAGAAGGAGGAGGAGTAGGAAGATCTGGATTTGGTTTCTTAGAAGATCCGTCTGTCGGATTCGATCATGGAGTTGCAGGAATCTGGTTGGGAGGAACTGAGAAAGGAAGCACGGAAGATCGAGGGTGATCTTGACGTCAAGCTGTCTTCCTATGCTAAGCTGGGCTCTAGGTTCACGCAAGGAGGTTTGTTTTCTTCATTATGTTGCTTACTCAATTCTTCCACTCTCGCTTTGCTACTCCACATATTGATGAATGTTCACTTTAGCAGTATGATATAGTGGGTTTGTGTTGGATTTCCCAAATTGCCATTTCTTTTCCTGAATGCCTCTGAGAATTGCAATTACTTTGTCTGCATTGGGGAGGAGGGGTTTAACCCCAATTCTCTCCTTCTTGATTCATTTCATTGTGAATGGTATTTTCATTTACTCTTAATATTTCGCTTGCCTGATTCTTGTGGTTGCTTAGCAGCTTAGCAAACTTAATGCAAAGCTAGGCAAATTTTACTCTACGCAGGAGTTCGGTCGGATCTCTCATTTTTTAGGATTATTTATTGAACGTACTTCTTCTTGTTCGCTATGTTTCATCTTAAGTAGTTTTATGATTATTGATAGCCACTGTATGTGGACAACTGTAATTCAAATTAAATCTATGGAGAAATAAAATTTAGTTTCTGTCAATTTGGTGCGACTCCTGTTTATAAGCTGAAAATGGTCTATTTAATGAGTCAAGAAGATCTAAAATCAGCAGACAGAAAGCAATATGTGGTAATTTTCCTCCGGGCAAGCTTAATGCCAAAAGCGGGTTTTCTCTCTTAAGATGAATATCAATGATAAAGATATCCCCAATAGTTTTCACCCATGTGCTCTGAGTGTGGCCTGGGAGTTATCTTTCCTTTTTTCTCTCACTTTATAAGCTATGAATTGGTTGGGTGTTTCTTTGTCTGTCTTGGCAGAACTAGAATGGATGTCACAATAGTCACTTTACAACAGTGCAGAGACATTAGTGGTTATGCACTCTTCTTTTCTGAGCACCTTTTATATCTCTTCTCTTCTGTCCTGTAGCTGTTGATTCTTATGCTATTTTCTCCTTGTTAATCAGTTCCTCCTATACATTATCTTTTTCTTCTGGTTATTGTGGCTTTGGCTGTTAGTATTGCTTCTTGCAAGGAGAGCTTTGATAAAATAGTTACTTCCAGAAAGCATAAACAAATAATTCCCAGCCGAATTCCAGTATATTAAGGTCTTACAAGGTGGCTGCTTGAACGACTCTTTGGGATTAGTGACTATATAGTTACAAAAGACTCCAATAACCTGAAATGCATTTTATCTCTTACTTTGTATTACTTTTAGTAGTGTATTTGTTATTAGATATAGCTTGCAGTCAGTGCTTAATTGCTTTTTTTTTTTTTCATCAATGATTGAGCAGTTTCCACCATTTTCTGGCTCTTGGATTGTGGTGTTTAATTTTCTAGCTCTGCCACAGTCCTATGCATTTGTATTAATCTAACTTCTTCTATCAGGTTATGTGGAAGGTGGGTCACCTCCTCTTGGGTCCAGTAGGTCATGGAAGTCAATGGAAATGGAAATCCAATCCTTGCTTGAGAAACTATTGGACATAAATGATTCAATGAGTAGATGCGCTGCATCTGCTGCACCGGCTACTTCTGTCACCCAGAAACTAGCCAGGCACAGAGACATTCTTCATGAGTTTAACCAGGTATGATTTGTGTATAACAACAAAAACCACAAGGTTTATCCTACTAGATGGGTTCAGCTACCGGGATCATACTATGCCAATGTGTTCTATCAACAATCCCCCTCTTTAGATGTACCATTAACTGAATGATCCCATTTAATAGCTTCTTTGAGTGCTCTTCTTGGTCCTCCTTTACTTACTTTATCAAATGACATTTCATTTGTGCGTCACTATTTTTTTGTTGGATGATTTGGTTTCAACTTTCAATTAGTAAAACAAATGGTTTGCATTTACCACTTGCATAGGGAAACTATTAATTGTTAGAGAAATCCACAAGGTTCATTTTGCTTTCTATTTAGTCAAAACGCTTATTTTACTTCTATGTTCTTTGTTTTTTTTTTTTTATAAAAGTTGCGTGAGTCTTACTTTACATTTTCAAGATTTAGAGGAAAATGTACACTTTTCTTCCTTCTAACAAGTGGTGCTTGGATTAAATTAAGATCGTCATATGTGAACATGAATCTTGGCATTTTAGCTGTTATGTTCATTCTAGATTCAAGTGGGTGTCTTTTTCAAAAAATGAATAGTTTTTGGCCAATTAAATTCAGAAGGTAAAGCAAAGTTTGAAGCAGCTAATGGAATTGCTAATTTTAATACTTATTATTGAGCTCTTGCTTCGTTATTTGGGGTATACAAACACTGAATTTATGACCAATTGAAACTCTCTCTTTCACCCCTCCTCACTCTTTCTTGGTTTCAATGAAAGGTCGCTTGTCATTAGTCTCCATATTACTGCTTTAAAGTTCCATCCAAATGATTTGCAACAATTCCATGTCACACAGAGTGCAGAGTATTATGTCATTTCAGCCTCTCTCTCTCTATATATATATGTATTGATTTTTCTGATTTTATCTATGCTATCATGTTAGCATCGGTTCAAGAGGGAAGGAATTAACAACTATAGAAAATAATGAACTCAGAATGAACCAAACAGGGTACAAAAGCATCATTCTAGTTTTATGATATGGAAGAAAAGTGACCTCTTAACAGAAACATATAGTGTTCTCTGCATAAACCAATGTCGAATATTGCTATTCTTTTCAGGAATTTAGACGTATAAAGGGGAACATAAACTCGATCAGAGAACATGCGGAGCTTTTAAGTTCAGTCAGGGATGACATTAGTGAATTTAAGGTGCGCAATGGACATGATGTGAATCTAATTACATGGTTGATTTTCTCCAAAGATTTTCCTTCTCCTGACAGGCATCAGGAAGCATGTCACCAAGGATGCAGTTGTTACGGGAGAGATCTGCAGTCCATGGAAGCATATCTCATGTAAGTATATATTATATCAATAGATTAACAGATACTTCATTGATTCTTAATCTGTAATCCATCAATCTTTCTTAATATGTAAAGCAAGAAATAATTTTTGTTGTTAGTGGTTCATATTAATTGAAATTGAAATTGAAATTGAAATTTATACTGTAAATCAGAAGACTTTATCTATGCTGATTGTACCCATTCTTCTCATTGTGCTTTAAGTCTGACTGAAGGTGAATGGCTAGGATGAAAAGACGGTGCTTGCTCACTTTTTAGCTATCAGTGAATTCTTCCCTTGATGGAGGGACTTGACTAATTCCGTTTGGATGTAAGGTTTAATTGAATAGGGTAAATAGTTTGGGCATCACGTTTTGCTCTAGCCATGTTTAACATTGTTCCATAATCTCCCGCTCCTTTCCTTTTCATAACAGTTTTGATATTGCAACTTTTGACAAGTGGCAATTTCCTCTAACATTTTGAGTATAGTGAAGGAAGAAACTTTCAAACCCTGAAAACAAACCTCACATTGCTTACCACTATGACTCACTCCTATATGACAATGTTAAATTTACTTTGACATACATTTTCTTCTTTAATGCAACCTTCCTTTCCCGAACAGATTTATAATGTCAGGTGACTGTTGCATGCTTTGTACTCTTAAGGGCCTCTTTGGCATGCAAAATGCTAATGAGTATGAAGGGAAATGGAATGAAAATGTGATTTTTTGAATGACATATGTCCATTATGCCCATAGATAAACCAGAATATGAAAAGATAATTACTGAGTAATCACATCGAAGATATAATGAATATTGCATATCTCAATTTTTGTGCATAGGGAAGGGAATAAACCTCCTCTTTTTCCAAATGGGGTGTAAGCTGGAAATGGACTATAGTGCACAGCTATTCAAAGCAGAAGTTTATTGCTGCAGCTTTACATGGTGCAACTTTATGATTGAGGGAAGGTGTTTCTGTAGACTCAAAACTCAATTTGATAGAATAATGCTAAATTGCTGGGATCTACGGGCTTTGTTTTCATATAGTCTCCAGCATTGATGTATAACTTTGATAGGAAACCAGAAATACAACAGACCACCCAGAAATGAGTGACAAACTAGAAAAATTAGGAAACGGGGACAAAGAGATGCAGACATGGCAACTCAAGTTTGGCAGCATTCCTTCTAGACCACCAGGCATTTACACCAGCAACCCCTTTTACCATTTGGTCATTGACCACTGCTCCTGGTGACACGTGTAGCTCATTGATTCAATGGTACCCTCCTTCGCCCCAAATTCTTTTCTAGCCATTTTGTTTATTCCCATCTTCCCCCTTCTTTGATATGCTTTTTGTGTAGGAGTTTTGACATAATTGTAACCTAGGTTCCGCTTGGTTAATAGAAAGGAATGGATTGAAATCAATATAAAAATGAACTAAATCACCATTCCCCTTCATAGTAAGCATGATAAAACTAACTAATATATACTACAAATGTGGGAATCATCACAACATCTAAAAATCTAATGAATCATAATTCCTAACTCCATAAACTAAATTATCTCTCTTCCTTATGAATGTGGTTCACCATCTATGTTGATTATCTTATTTTTTTTTACCTTTATTTTTTCAATCCATTCCATTCCATTTCTTTCTAGTAACCAAACAGGACCTTAGTTTCATTATTTTATCTCATTCATAGTGGAGGTAGACTTCGGAAGGATGCCATATGTTGCAACTGCAGTCTCAATAGCTTTTTTCCCCCTTTTTGTGTTTTTCTTAAAAGGAAATGGTGGATTCACTTCTTGGCTAAATTGTGTCTACTGATATAACTTGCTCTAATCTGTTATGGGTTGCAAATATTTTTAAATTTTTTAGCATCACTGCGATGGTTGTTTAGAGTGGTGTTATTCGGAGGGTAACTTCATTTTCTTTTCCAAAGAGAACTCCTCAAGTTTATGCTCCATGCACCCTGAATAGGGTCAAAAAAGTAGTGAGACAGTATGTGTTAGTTTTGTGAAAGAGAAATAACTGATTAGCAAATAGAACCTGTAAATAATTTTCAATCATGATAAGATCTATCCCATTGAGGCTTTTTAGAACAAGATCTTAGCTTATGATCTTATACAAATGATAAATTAGTATGTCTTGGTGATATACATGCAGCTAATAGTAATGCATAGAAGAATGGTGGCTTAAGGTTCTATCGCTAAAATGTTTCTAGATACAGAATGAATGAAGGATTTGTGTATTATTACTTAATGTATAGCCTAGGGTTGTGCACAGCTTATATCCTGTTATTTTTTTCCCTCCCTACTAACTGATTCTAACTATCTTAACTACTGCCAGTTAAATGTATCCCTTGGAGGTTTTTTTAAATTAGAAATTGAAACTTCTGAATAAGCTTAGAATCTTAAGGGACTATAAGTAGAATCGCAAAAGAAGAGAAAATTGTGTATGTTAAGTAAAATAGGACAAAGTTCATTAGAAATCAGTAAATTTTTTCATCATCCTCGGTGAAACAAAAATGGGAAGGAACGTGTGGCAAAGTGTTAGTATGAATGGAACAACCTGAGTGTGGAACTATGTCTTGATTTTTGCAAAAAAATTGATATTACCTTTATGAAAGACTGGATTTTATTGTTTGTTATATATCCTTTTCTGTTAGGCCAAGAAATGAACATGGTAAAATTGGTGTATCCTAGTGTTACTTGAAGATGATATGAAAATCATCTTAAGTTTCTGTTATGGTCATATATTAAGGAGATGTACGAAACAAGATAATGAGTAAAAGTTTCAAAATAAGGAAGATGAATGATCAGGTAAAAGTGGTGTCGAGAAAGATAACTAGCATGTTAATGCAGACTTACTAGCATGTTAATGCAGACTTACACTCTAGTTATGGCTTAAATTTGTAGGATTTCATGTTGCTTTGGCTAACAATTTCTTCAGCCTAATCCAACATTTGGGTATTTATATTTTAACATTATTGTATGTACATTTGTTACTTTTCTTTGAAGTGATGAAATATAGGAATTAATATATTTTGAAGAAGCCTGCTATAAGAGGAAATCTATCTTACTTTTATATTTTATTACTTTTTGTTTTTTACTCTATTTAGCAAGTGGGCTATTTTATCACTTCATGTGTTAAATGAGCCGCAAGTAGATGTTTCCTTATAGGGAACGAAACCTCAAGCTTATATTTTACTTTGTTTAATGTTTCCTTCATAAGAAGGAAACCTTAACTGTGGCTTTGATAAAAAGCCACCATGCAGCACATGTAAGAGAGTTCTTAGACTTTGATGAATGAATGAATTCTGATACAATGTGCTGATAGCTTCCCCCCTTTCTATTCCTTTGGTTTTGTCTCTCTCCGTGCTTCCTTCTCTCTCTGTTTACTGTGTCTCTTCTCTCCCTCTCTGCTCTTGTCTCCTTTCTCTCACTCTCTGTTTCTGTTTCTTCTCCCTTTTCCTATTCTGTTCAAATCAGTGTGAGCATGAGTGTGTGTGTATTGCATCAATTTGGTATCAGAGCTTGCGTTTCTATGCTCCTTTGGTACTTCCGTCACCAGGAAAACAAAGAAACTTACTGGCAATCTCCCTGAACCCTCTGTTTCATGCTGCCAAAGCCCAGAGCCATACTTCTCGACATCAGATCTCAAAACCACCACCTCCATTGTGTTTGAAAGGAAGAATCCAGCCAGAATCCAGAGACCCACCTCCGACCTCTCCCACAAATGCAGTCACACGCTGGGGAAGCTCTCTGGGTGTTGTCCTCATGCTCCAACACGCCACTACATGTGCTGTCCATACAGAACCTCCAGATCTGATTTTCAACACTTCTTTTGGTGTTTTCAAGGAGTTTCTTTGGTTCTGATCAACCTAAGAACCCTGAATCATCATCCAAAGCATTATTTGGGGAAAAATTTCATCTTTTGTGGCTTTCACAGCTTGCTGGCCTATCTTATGTGCAAGAAATCATTTCTGGAATTTTAGTTTTTGTTCATTATGTCCAGAATTCTTAAAGGTGATCTTGAGGAATCTGAAAGGTCTCAAAGGGAATATGTGGATCACAAAATTCAAGAGTTGAAGGAGTATATGAATAGTAAGTTTGATGAGGCCTTAAGGGCTCTCAAATGTTTAGGCCATCAGAGGGGCATGGAGATAACTTTTTCAAGACAGAATTATGATATTTTCAAGGCACAAAAGAATGATACCTCATCAAAAAGGCTACACCTATATCAGTTATGCCAAAAAGGGATACTAATAGTATTCATGGTCTTGTAATTGGGAGTGAAAGCATTCCTATGAAAGAGCTCAAGTCAGTAAATGGAAGTGACATAGATGTTACTATGAAGCAAGAGAAAGAATTTGAGCCAGAAGAAATCTCTATGAAAAATGAGGGCATTAGTCTTAAAGTGAATCAAGGCTTCAAATTGTTGACTAAAGATCATCACATAGGCAGTAGAGGCTTATGAGTGGGAGCAAGTTAGGGATCTTGACAAGAGTGTTGAACTTTGTTAGATTCCTATTTTTAATCATCCATGTGCTATACCATTTACTGCAAAAGTTGTTTTGGTTATGAAAGAACATTATTGTCCCATTTGATAACAACTTCTACAGCTACCTTGTTCATTGGAAAGGTTTTCCAAATCATTATGATCATATTGCTTACTTTCCACACATCTCATTTTCCACTACCTTATATGTTGGAAAGGATCTCCAGATTAATTGCTACGTGGAGGGATTCCCTACATCACACTCTAGTGGAGTTACTTCAACTTTTTTTACTCTCCGGAGGAGAGTTCCATCAAGCGGGGGAGAAATGATGAAATATAAGAATTAATATATTTTGAAAAAGCCTGCTATAAGAGGATATCTATCTTAATTTTATGTTTTATTACTTTTTGTGTTTTTACTCTATTTAGCAAGTGGGCTGTTTTATCACTTCATGTATTAAATCAGCTGTAAGTAGATGTTTCCTTTTAGGGAAGGAAACCTCAAGCTTATTTTTTTTTTTTTTGTTTTATGTTTCCTTCATAAGAAGGAAACCTTAATTGTGCCTTCTATAAAAAGCCACCATGCAGCACATGAAGAGAGTTCTTACTTTGATGAATGAATGAATTTTGATACAATGTGCTGACAGCTTCCCCCCTTTCTATTTCTTTGGTTCTGTCTCTCTCCCTCCTTCCTTCTCTCTCTGTTCTCGTCTCCTCTCTCTTACTCTCTGTTTCTGTTTCTTCTCCCTTTTCCTGTTCTGTTCAAATCAGTGTGAGCGTGAGTGTGTGTGTATTGCATCGTGAAGTTTGATGGTCTTCAATATTAATGGCAATACTTCTGCTGGAGCACCTCCCTTGGAAGTTCCGGATAGTTTCTTGTCAAACTCTCGCCTCTTCAATTATTTAAGACAAGCAACAATAACAAAATCAGCCACTGAAACGGTGATAATGATAAAAATAGATCTTAAAACCCTTGCTTTTGCTCATCAAACGATTAGAGCAGAATAGCAGATGATTCAACGTCTTGTTATATTTACACTAAAGCAGCATGTGTTTGGAAATCTTGGATATTTCTGGGTGGAAAAGAGTTTGGAAACCAATAAGAATGATCACTAAAAATGATCTAGGTGCACTTTTCACTAATGGAATGCTTACAATATTGAGATTATAATAGTTCAAGATATCAACTTCTACTCTTCTACCTAGGTATAATTGATGAAAGATTAATAATTTGCTTATATATGAAAATATGTAGGGAGCAGTAAAGAATGCTACAATTCTCTCACTAGGTGGGGTCAACTATGTGGATTATACGATACCATTGTATTCTATTATTTATTAAGCTTTTAGAAATATTATTAATTAAGAAGTCTCGATCAATAACTTTAAGAAGTGTTCTCTTTGGCCTTCCTCTACCCTTCTTAACAGGGCTCAAAGTTATTTGTTCTAGTTTCCTCATAGGTACCTCCTGTAGTCTTATTTGAATGCTCAACAAATATACATCTCTTGGAAATCTTATTAAATGGACCTTGCTTTTTACTTGGGGCTCGCTCAAGGCCATTCTCTGTAGTAGTAATATAATGCTAAAATCAGTTTTCATATTGAGATCTCTTTGTAGCCCGTTAGTATTAGAGATGTTTCTTTTTAGGCAATTGCCCTCTCTTCCTCCTCCATGTCTTTAGTTCTTCATAGCAATTATGCATGTTAGATTTGGCGATTGCCAACAACTATTGAAGTTCATGGTGCTTCAATAATTGTATTCTTTATAATTGTCATATCTGCATTCGTAGCATTTTTGAAGGATATGTTATTGATTGAAATTCAAATAAGGCTGCTTCCATCCTTAGATGGTGATGTGTTTATACTAACTTATTTCATATCAGCTGTTTCGTAATAAAAAAAAAAAATTATCTCCATATTTTCTTTTTGCTTCCCAGATTGATGATGTAATTAGTCAAGCTCAAGCAACAAGATCTGTTTTGGGGTCTCAAAGGGCTTTGTTTGGTGATGTTCAAGGGAAAGTGAAACTTCTCGGCGATAAGTTCCCTATGATTCGAAGTTTGCTTGGTATGTTGTGATGCAATGTGAATAGGCTTGTTTGATTTTATTTTTTGTTTTTATGTTTTTAAAACAATTTTATAGAGTAGTTTTTCAGAACAAGTTTTAGAAATAAAAAATGAAAAAAATCTGTTGAATTTTGAAAAACATATCTAAATTGGTGAAATAAAAGTGAAAGAATAATTTATTTTATTAACGTGATAGTTGATAAAACCATGATATGTCTATTTTCAGTTTTGCAAAAGTAACAAAACATCTAAAAGATGTTCTGGTTCTTATAGTTCTTCAGACCAACTTTTAACTTTCTCTCATAACAGAAAACATGTTTTCAATATTTTTTTTTTGTTTTGTTTTTCAAAACAAAAAACTGTTCTGAAAACAAGTAATTAAGCAGGCTAGTGTTTTTGACATTGCTTTTGATGTTTTGCTGTTCTCTCTCTCTGGTCGTTATTTTGTTAATCTAATTCTTCTGCTCTTTTAAGGTTCAATACAAAGGAAACGGTCCAGGGATACTCTTATATTGTCAGCTGTGATTGCCGCATGTACGTTGTTTCTCATTGTTTATTGGCTCTCAAAGTAACCAAATAGAAGAAGGAAGAAAAGATGCATTTTGAAACACGGAAGATAATATTAGATTATTATGTTGTTTAATTTTTTAAGGAATTTATTTGCTTGCTGGAAAAAAAAAGTAATTTATTTGCTGCTGCTTTTTCTGCCTTTGTTTGACGGATCATTCATTTTTGTTTTAATTCATGGGTCAAGTAGATCATAGTCTTTATCATTCATACGCAAGATTGGATTTATAAAATAGAAGCCAATGGCTATGGTCTGAAGGCGAGAGATTTGTATAATATGTTAATTATTTTCGATCTCAAATTTGAGGTTACGATGACCATTATTGACTCTCTTTCAGATTAATCAAATTCAAAAGAATAAAAATGGATTGATGATCCAATTTCACCCAAAAAAAAAAAGCTGATGTTATTTAATTAGGTTTATTTGGTGAGAAAATTAAGAATATATTGTTTACAAATGTTATTTTTGTCACTAAATCCTTACAAAATTATGATAAGGAATATCTTGTAATAATGCATATGCTTTTCAATTACATCACTCTAAGGAAGATGAGTCTGTATCACACTAAGACTTTAAGACCGGAACCGGTCACTTGTCCAATCCAGTTGAGGTAGAAAAATCAAAGGGTAATCAAACAAGTCAAAAAATAGATCAATCGGTCAACAAACCAGAAAAGAGAGGAACGTGGAAGGACCAAAGCACTGTTTTGAAAATTAGATTGGACCAGCCAGTCGGACTGATCGGACCGTCGATCGGTCTGGTTCAAAGGAAAAAATTATTTTAAGAGTTGAGCTGGTTTGAGCTGTTTCGAACCAACGGTCGGATTAAGAATTAGAATCAAGCCGGGAATCGGATCCGGTTTTCAAAAATCGGACTGTTCAAAATTTTTTTTTTTATTTTTTAGCAAATGTTTTTATAAAAATGACTAATTTTTTTAATCATTTGATATTATATTGTATCTATGGCTTGTTAAGTCATGATAAACTTAAAATATTTGATTTTTTTAAGTTCAAAAACTTAAAATATTTGATTTTTTTAAGTTCAATAGTAATTTCATATGTATTTCTTATATTTAAATTATTATATACATATATAATTTTTTTTAATTTAATTATTACATCACCGTGGTCCAACCGGTCGCTGACTTTTTTAGTTTAATGTCCGATCTAGTTCCGAAAACATTGGACCATAGAGAAGATGACGATGAAGAGGATAAAAAAGAAGATATTTTGTAGCAAAAAATTACCATGGATTTGTTTTTTGAGTCAGAAAACTTCTAGATCTGTTATGAAGCCTCAGACAGATGAAAGTCGAGAAGCCGAACGAGACGCTCGGCGGCAAAGAGAAGACAGAAGAGAGGGAAAGAAGAAGATGAACGTGGGCCCCATGACATCTCAGAGCAAGGATGTGTGCAGCGGATCAATTTACTTCATGTACCTCTTATTCTTCAATGTCAGTGCGGTTTCTTTCCTCTCCACGCGAATGCAATTGGCGGGAAGCAATTTGGAATGAGAGGGTGATAAAATAATCTATTTATGGATTTATATTAATATTATTAGATACTATTTATACTTATAAAAAATAAGCAGATGAAATGAAATCTACTAAAATATTATTATTTTAAAAAATATATAAATAACTTATAATTTTTTTATCTTTATATGAATATTTTTAGTTAAATATTAATTTTTATTATTACATAGATGGATTTATTTCATGATATATATATATATATATAATTTAAAATGTATTAAATTATCATGAATGATTCGATCAGTTGAACCATTAACTCTTAAATTAATCTTAGATTTGGTTTAATGCGCGACCCGATTTTTAAAAACCTTTCATCACACACACCTCTTTCCTGTAATGCATGCCTTTCTTGTATTACATGGGATATATTGTTGAAAATGCATTAATTTTGAAAGGTAGCTGTGAATTTAAGAAAGATTATTTGTGAATTTATAAAAAGTCAAAGGGAAATTTATAAGGGTTATTTCTAAAATTTCTTTCGATAAGCGCTGGGCATTTTGCACTTAAAAAGTGAGACAATTTTCTCTTGAATCATTTTTTCAAGGACAAAAAAATCTCTTTCGTTAGTTACTCATTAACTTGTTTGTTTTCTACTGATATGACATATGTGTGGGGTCTATACAAAATAATAGATAAAACTTTTATCATATCCTTTGTTGCTAATATGCTCCTAAACTCTTTTTTTTAGGCATGTTGAACGCCTTGAGATCTTGTTAAAATATTAAATATTTTAATATTTAACAATTTAAATATTATTATTTATAATTATTCATTCAAAATTTATAAATTATTTTTTAATATTAACAGCTCAAACTAGTTTTATAAAAATTTATATATAACTTGTAAATTGTGAGTTTTATAAAAATTTATATATAACTTGTAAATTGTGAATGAAGATTTAAAAATAATGATATAATAATATTTACAAATAAATTTATGAGCCAATTTAATGAGTTTGATTATCATGTGAAATATTCAGTTGCCCCAGGTACATGACAACAACTCCTCGAAAAACCAACAGGGTGGTATGATTCAGATCCACTTAAGGCACCAAAGAAGAAAGTCAACTTTAAATAATAGCATGCAATGCCATTGTAATTGATGGAACTTTTGTTGCCATGAAGAAATTTCCGAATCTAACTTATATCAATCTATTTCTCCGGATTGTTTCAGAGAGAATTCCTATGACATCAACAGATATGGAAAAAGAGCAAGCCAAGACTTTCACAAGAAAGCAAGACTTGGTGGAACTAGCTTAAAAAAGTTATTTCAGATTTTGACATAAGGGCGAAACTATGCATAAGGGGTAGCCTTAACTTAATTCAAGAAGGAGGGCTAGGAGTGCTAAAAATTTCTAATGTTCACAGTTTAAAGAAGGAATTTTTCCCTTACCTAATACAGGATCTAAGAAAAACTCAGTACAACCCTGTTGGTTTCAAGTGAAGTACTGCTTTTGGCAACCAGGCAACTTGTTTTATCTTGTTTTCCTTTTATGTCTAGTTTGGTATGGAAGAGAAGAATGGTGGTTCCTCCAAGAAGAGTCCAGAGCATGCATATTATTATTGGTAAATATTATATTATTATTTACAAATCTTGACGTGCAAGTTATAAATAATAATATTTAAATTATTAATAACTAAAATATTTAATATTTTAATAATATTTATTAAATTTAATTTTAACAAAACTTCAAGGTGTCTAATGATTTAGGAAAAGAAATTCAGGAACAAATTAGCACTAAAGGATAGGATCAAAGTCCTACTTGTCATTGCTCGTGTACTCTACATATAATATTTGATAGCAAGTTATAAAATCTCCAATTTCAAACTCCTTTTAACTCCAAATCCAATGCAATTAATGGGCCAATCTAATGAGATTATCAAGTTTGTTATTTATAGAAATGGGATTCTAAGTTTTTTATAATTTATAATTACTCAAAAATCATTTATCAAACTTTTAATCAGAGTAAACTATTGTTTTGGAAGCATGAGATACCTCATGAGAATGAAAATATTCAAAATTAGTTGAAAAATTATCAAGGAATGAAAAACAGAGCAACATGTTGTGGCATGTGCACATGTGGCGCGATCGTCCCTCTTTATACCACACGCCACGGTGCAGGCACCATGTGTTGAGGTGTGATGCACATATCAGATAGCTATTCTATTGCCATTTGATAGCAACTCAAAGCAACTTTTGCTATTTCCAATTTCCCTGTCTGACATTCAAATGGGGCGATCTAGGTGTTTACAAAAAGTTCTTTTTATAAATTAGCTAATGGCACAGGTTTTACTCCTAAAATAGGTCATACAAGGATGATGGACACCCCAAAAACATTTTCACAACTTTTTTATGCTTTTCGCAATTTCAGGGTGTCCAAAACCCTATACAAGTGCTAATAGCTATTCAACACCCAAAACACGCTTAAAAGACTTAGGATTACTTGTATAATACATCACATGCACATATACTTGACAATATCAAATTTTTACTCGTCAACCCCTTTTACAATAAAAAATAGAAAGGGGGTTTTAGCATTGCATTTGTTCAATTAATTCTCATAATTATGATCTAATCAATATTCCTACACTTTCACTAGTATTTCGGCCTTATTAACACTTTAGCAAATTACATATAACATCCTAAGGCCTAAAATACATCTCACAATTATAAGTGATAACATAGTTTAAGTATAAATAAAAATGTATCCTAATTGATAATATTTTAACTATTACACAAAAAAATGAAAGTAAGAGGCATTACAATAGGAATCCAAGATTCCTAAGCCTCTTGAGCCTTTTTCCTTTCCACCTCGGAGCTAGAGCCTGTAAAATATTGAAAGAAAAGAGTGAGTATAACCATTCAATAACCAAGATGCATCAACTCTATACAGTTGCATACC